CTGCCACCCAATTCACAATGTCCCTCTGATCCTCCTGCAGGTAGTGGGTCCACAAGATGTCTTGCGGGGGGGGGGGTTAAGTGGGGTTAAGTTTCTTGCCCAGGGACACAATAACATCAGAAGACCAGTGCTCTACCAACTGAGCCACTGTCGCCCCACACTTAATGAAACGCACTATATAAATGAATATTACTTACTTACAAGTGAGACGTACAGTAGGGCAAAACAAAGTGCTTTACGACGTAAGAGGAAACATTGTCCTCCCAGCATGTCCCAAATACAGGATATACTCTAAATTATATCAAGTATCAAAAACAGAAAGTATTGCAAATGTATTTCTGAAGAAAAACATGCATCACAAATTTTACCATTTACCCCAGACATTGTAATTGTAGGTGTTTTTGTAACCGTGGCGATGGTGTTGCAGAGGTTAAGGCTTTTTCAGGATTCAAGGTCTCACTACTTTTTACACAGCAATCAAAATATTTGAAATACAGTATGTGTTCAGTACCACAGCCGAATAATATCTGCTTTCTGCTAGTGTAATATTGCAAAACTAGTGTACGCTTTTTGGCTTCCAGCAATCCAGATCCCAGTCACCATGGCAACATTTTGTTAAACAACTTTATACTTTTTCCTGCGGACTGACAAAAAGGCTGCTCTAATATTGAGTGTGGTGGAAGAGGAGATAAGGGCCGCCTTGGTCAGAGCGGTGCACGCTAGCTTTGCCCACGGCCAAACTCTCTCCTATAGAAGAAACAATTGTCCACTTCACTGTCTGGATATTTTAATGGTTTGTGCCTCCGGAAACTCGAGTGCAAGTCCCAGAGAAGTGCCGAGTCAAAGCAAGAGTACGGAACACAGGGGCCCCGATGCTGTCCTCTCAAACCAGGGATGTTGAAAAGAAAAGCTTTGAATTTGCAGACTTTTGTTTTCAATGATGCTTAGATTGCTCATAATTCATAATTTATAGACTTTTAAATATAATTGCAGGGTGTAAATCTGAGAAATATGAAGTTTTGGGAGATTTGATCAAAAATGAAATGGTTAAAATCAGCTGTTTCCTTGTTTTACGCCACAGTATATTGCTCAAAAGATAGCGTGGAAGCTTCTTCAACCCTCAAATTGATCCTTCTTTTCATAATTAACTTCTTTATTTTTCATAATAAACAGACATGTTGTTTATTTTTCTAATTATATTTTAACTGCTTCTTGTATAACTTTCTAGTTTGTGGCTGCCTCATCCATATGACCACATTTGAGAATTGTCTGTTGAAATTACCAGGTCTAACTCCACATTCTTCAGCCTTCTGGATAAAGAAAATAGACAAGATTTTGGATTCCCAGGACCATGAGAAAAGGCATTTCCCAGTTTTTCTTTCTTTATGTGACTTTTCTCAAAAGTGATGGATACTCGAGGAGATGGATGTATTCACACCAAGAAAAGCAGTGAAGACATGTTGCTTGTTTATTATCTTTATGTCAATTGTAAGATTTAGACAATGATAATGGACCAAATGGCCAATGGACTCCTGTAAGTTTTTAGCGGCCCCTGAACAAATTATTCTAATACTAATTATAGACCCCTTTGGCCTTTGAGTCTGATGACTACTGTCGTTGTGTCCTTGGGCAAGACACTTAACCCCACTTTGCCTGAAGCCCCTGTTGAAAGACCAATCCTCACCACCTGCAGGAGGATCAGTGAGGGGCTGGTGCTCTGTGATCTGACGGCCACCCTCCAGAAGAAAATGGATAGATATCAATCTCAATATAAAATGTACATCTTGATATTTTTACAGGATAAGTAACCCCCGCAAAAACCACTGCAAATACAAATTTGCCAATTTCCGAACTATTTTAAATTGAATTTCAAAGAGTCGTCAGTTCAAGTTAGAACAAAGTGTTTCTGTCCTGTTTGTTTTAATTTTCTATAAACAAAAATAACCGTTTGACTGAAGTAAATGTATTGCCTTCTCTTCATTCAAAAATAAACGGACTCAACTCAAGGCACAGCATAAATATAGGAACAAAGTGTTTCTGCAACATTTTAGATAAAAAAAAGTACCTGATTACATTAAAAGTAAGTAACCAGTTCAATTCAGTGACAAGCAGCTCTCTCCGTAGGGCAGTCTCTGGGGTTTGTGTGTCGCAAAGTAATGCCTCACCTCCACAATCTGTATGTTTTTTGTTTTTAGCTGTGTATTAAGTTTTCATTAGCGACAGTGGCTCAATTGGTAGAGCATTGACCTTTGGGCCTGAAGGTTGTGGGTTCCCACCACAAGACCTACTCCAACTGCTCCCATTGAAGTCTGCTGTTGTTGTGTCCTTGGGCAAGACACTTAACCCCACGTTGCCCGAAGCTCCCGCTGAAAGACCAAGGCTGTGTCGCCGCTGACGGAGCAGCCATCTTCCTGTGGACTCACCACCTGCAGAGGATCAGAGGGACTGGTGCTATGAGCGTTGGGAGGCAGCTCTCATTGCCACCCCCCTGACCCAGAAATGGATTATTAAAGGGGAGGAAAATGAATGAATGAATAAAGTTTACAGTCTCTGGTATGAGCCACAATGTTCAATGACGACAAACGGCGCCATGTCACTGCTGTGCCACAGACTCTGACGCTGCTCCACCTTCTCTCATACTCCACTCAACTGATTTTTTACACAAGTTTGCAGCTTCTGAGCCTGTTTACTGTTTCTGCTTCGAGCTGAGCACCGCCGCTGTGTATGAGACACACAGGAGGGGTGGAGGAGCAACAACAGGAGGAGCAACAGCAGGAGGAGGAGGAGCAACAGCAGGATGAGCAACAGCAGGAGGAGCAACAACAGGAGGTGCAACAGCAGGAGGTGCAACAGCAGGAGGAGCAACAGCAGGAGGAGCAACAGCAGGAGGAGCAACAGCAGGAGGAGCAACAGCAGGAGGAGCAACAGCAGGAGGAGGGGGTGAGCAGTCAAGTGCAGAGAAGGCAGACAAGCAAAGAGGCAAAATTATAAACATTATATCAATAAGTAAAAAAGGGCAAAAATTCACTTGGATTTAATGTAAATACTGATATATCGCACACCTCTACTTGGCGTGCTATAGCTGATTTTAGAGTTTATTTTTTTTAAGAAAACAAGCATTTAATGTATCTATCATTTGAACCAAAGAATCTGATGTGCACTTTTTGTATTCAACTTCTTTATGATTGTCTTATTGACCAGATCGACGTCATCCAGTCACGTGATTGTGAATGAGCTTACGACGGAAGTAGTAGAAACTAGCATTGCTGCGAGAGCAAAACAGACTCCAACTATTAAAAACTGAGACTGCTCTCCTCAATCGAGAAGTGGCTGCTTCAAGCACATGTTCGATTACGTTATAGGTGGAAGTAGGACATCAGGTCAGGGCTCACAAAGCGTGGTATTTGGAGAAGTTAAGGATTGCCTAACTGGATGTTGACCCGTACCTTCTCCCCACAGTAAACTTGATCGATTAAATAAAATGTCCAACTTTGCCCGAATCCACCCGCATGCTCTTTATCATTGTCGTTAACAACACATCCGGGAGTACTTTTTGGTTGCTTACCGCTGGCCATCATCGTCTTCTGTCTTCATCAGGAGCAGGTATCAGATAAAAAGACACATTTGGCTTTCGTCCTGTTAGTACAACCAACCGCACTGCATCATACCACAGTTTTGGCTGTTATTCGGTGAAACGAGTTGTTTTGGTCAAGGCTCGCAGTTGAGTAAACAACAAGACTTCCGCTGTCTGTCATGGAGAGTGGGCGTGGTATATAAAAGTAAGTAGTTGGTATTTCAAGCAACATGACATGCTAAACTTTTACTAAAATAGCACTCGATGGAGGTGTCACAACAAAACGTCGACCATTTTGTTCAAGGTAGATATTGCAATACCCAAAACATCACTTGTAGTGAAAATATTGGTGTCAAAATGTGTAATAATACAAACATTTCCATCAACGCCCACCCCGCAAGTGTCATCCTGGAAAGTACTCCCTCCTTCTCCTCCATGGATGTATTATATTAACTGGATAGGGTATTACTAGCTTGTAGCTGAATAACTCATGTGCTCAGGGGATTCTCGCGGTACTGCAGACTGAACCAGACTAAATTCACGTGGGCTACCCAGAAATCTTCCCCATAGAACTCAATGCATATTAAAACAGCTCGACCTCAGCTGACAGAGAACCTACAGCTTTAATAAGGATCGGATTTTGTGGGGATTTTAGTGTCCCTTGTCATCCTGAACTTTTTTTCTTCTTAAATCCTTCGGTTTTCTTTAAATCCACACTTTAGTGCCACAAACTCTGCTCGTCTGGCTCTCGCTCTAACTCCCGCTCTGATGAACTGCTCTGATTGGTCAGAGCGCGGCCGAGCCCCTCTGTGCACGTGCGTGAGACCCGGTGTGAGACCCACACACGCGTGTTTGGCCCAACGCATTATGGGAGATCATCCACTGCGCAGAACCGGGAGGACCAGACGATGCCCAAATACAGGCGAGTTTCCCATAGATCTTTGCGAGTTTCAGGCGACTTCCGCTAATCTTTCAGCCCCCATGCTGTCACAAAGCGCCACTGAGCACAACCATTCATTTGAATAGGGCGCCATCTTGGATCGCCGGGGCTTGTTCTCCTCCCACATTAACAACATTAACACTCATTTTACCTTCACAACATCCTCTGCTCCTCCCTCATTCCACAGTCAATATAAGAATAATGTAAAAATCACTATTGATTGATAACGCTGCCAATAATCTGCCCAGCTGATAATCAGTTTAGTCGCTGCTATAGTTTTTATGTGTTTTACATGTTTTTAATATGTTTGAGAAGTGAATCATGTTTTCTAGTTCATGTTTAAGAACCAAATTGAATTGAAATGATACATCATAGTTGTTCTTTTCATGAAATCTGAAAACCAAGATGTCTGTGAATGTATACTCCCATTTTAAAGTCCCTCGTGGGCCCCTGCATATTGATTATCCACCCCCTCCCTCCACCGGGATGTCCCAGACCGCTCTGACATTCAGCAGCGGACCACCTCAGATTCTGACAGCCCATCACCCCCCGCCCCCCACCCCTCTGCGCTGCCTGATTAAAGCATCCCCCAAACCTCCCCCGCGGTCAGGAAAGACATCACCACGATCCAGCTGCCTTCCTGTCCTCCTCTTTTTGTTGCCAATTATACATGTGTTCTGATTCAAGTTTCAAGAATGTGTTTGCCATTTGCAGTAAAACCACATTGGAAAAATTGTGCAAGACTACCCCAGTGTGCAGCAGATAGTAGACACAAGAGCTCGTGCCACAGCGCCATTCTCTGGAGGTCTCCCATCCTGGATTTGATGGAGATATTAGACTAAAATAGACTAAAGAATTGTTTTGTTGGGACAGTGCTTGTTAACCGGAAGAAACCTACGCAGACACGGGGAGAAAATGCAAACTCCACTCTGAAAGACCTTGTTACGTCAGGGATTTGAACCCAGAACCTTCTTGCTGAGAAACGAGAGTGCTATCCGCTCAGCCACCGTGTCACCCAAACGCTTAGACTCAAACTGAAGCTTGACCACAACCAAAAGATTCTCTGAAGTCAAAGCTTTAGTCCGACGATACAACAGGAATCAGAAGGTTTTTTATAGCCTTCGCAGTGAACAAAAAGGACTGCCTTGTAATTTTTTTTGGTGTTATGATGTTTTGGTGCAAAATACAAATAGAATAGTGAAGACAACCATTTTACGGCATGCTTGAATGAATTAAAAGGTAAGTCCCACAGTGAGGACATTTCAGTGCTGTCACTCATTCAACGGGGACTAAAAAGAACATGATAATGAAACAAGAACAAGAAATCAGCACATTTACAGAAAAAAAACAATGTGCTTGAAAACTGCACTTGGGAAAATTAGATTAAATAAAATACCCTCAAAAATAAGGACAGTGGAGAGAAAGCTACAGGATCATGTGATTAGCAGAGTGATAATGAGTAAAGCATTAGTAAGAGGGACCGTGAGCTGGGATTAGACCGTCGTGAGACGGGTTAGTTTTATTTTACTGATGATGTGTTGTTGCAACAGTAGGAGCTGGGATGGAGATGGTCATGGAGGATACATGACATACAATTACAAAGAGTGAACCCACTGGTATTTCTTTCCCTATATATTTATTAAATACACAGAGCTAACATGAGCACCACAGACTTCCGCGAAGAACGCAGTTGAGTCTTACCACACCATTGTATTAATGTTATTAAGTACTGAGGTCTGGATTTGCTCCATTGAGCTCAGTTAACAGGTTTGAACGATTGGATCTGAGTTTCCTGTGACGTTCCTGTGAGTGAGTCAGGCAGTTAGCCTAGCTTTAGCCATCTCCTTTGCCTTAGCGTCCATTTCTAGGTCAAAGCACCAATCCATCCTGATCCTCCTGCAGGTGGTGGGCCCACAGAAGCTGGCGGCTGCTCCATTATCGAAGACACAGTGGCTTGCCCAAGGACACAACAACAGCAGACACCAGTGGAAGTTGTTGGAGTAGGTCTCGTGGGAGTAGGCCCATCCTCTACCAACTGAGCCACTGCCGCGGACAGATTGAAGAGCTTCCTTTCCTATCGCATTCACCGCCATTGCCAAACTACTACCAGCAAATTACATATTCAGAATATTCTTTCTGAGTAACTGTACTCCCTGACACTTACTACTTTAAAGCCTAGTATTTAAAAGACAGTTACTTACTGAAAATCACGGGAACTACAAACTTTCTCACCTTACGTTTTCACATATAGTGAAAGTGTTTGGAATACAGGTACTTCTTTTTCCAAAGTAATGCAAAAAGTATTCTACCCAAAGTAGAAATGGAAATATGAAGTGCCCAAATCTACTTACTGGCTTGTTTGAATGGTTTTGGCCAAATTGGCTCGACTAAATTGACGAGCATCGATCATCGAGGGAAATTACCTGAACGGGGAAGCACAAAATGTGAAAACTATCTTGGATGTCATTTTAACGTTCAAACCAAAAAAACTTTTTGTGTGTTCGTGATTTGAGGCTGACATTTGTACATCCAGCACAAGTGTCTTTGCTCCGCAGAGGGGGATTGTGGGTTGGCGAAGAGTGGCCCATGGATGATTGATATTCTCTATTAGTGCTTTGACGAGGGGAAGGACGTAGCGTTTGTAATGAATTGTGACGCATTAATGGGCTTGTCGACACTTACACAATATCCCAACGCAACTCTGCCATTTACCCTTTGGTTCCTGAAGACAGATTGCACACAAATGACTTTCAGTGAGATTGCTTGTTGCATTTTTGTTTTTGATCAATGCAGAGTTTATAATAAGTCATTAAAATGACTTAATATATCTATTTATACTTTCTTTATTATTTAAGCGAACTGTAAAGATTATTTTAAAAGTTGTGTTATACTTAATATTCACTTGTTTATTATTCAATTATTAAACCCTATCAGAAAATTACATGCACATTTTCTTTCCCAATTCGATATTCCTCATCTGGCAATTAAAGAATGTGTACTAATCAAATCAAAACGATAGATTTAGTTCATTTCGGAAAAGCTTGCGTTCTTATGGTGACATCTCTGGTGCCACAGCAGCTATGATGAAGTTGGATGTGAAATTTAAATTGTGAATTGTGAAGTTATAAATTGGATCGAGCCAATGTCACTGCAAACAAAGTTGAATACATTCCAAGCCCATTCTGCATAAAACTAACACAATCACATGACCTACTTTCCAAGTGTGTGTGAACCATAATGGACTTACTCACAACTATCTCCGCCGTTCTAACTAATGGGCCAAAAATCTATCCAAAATGGCAGCGAGTGGTCCCGCCCACAAGAAAAGTGTGAAAAAACGCATCTGCGCATGCGTCAGTCGGCGCAGCTCCATTCATGTGAACGAGAGACTTCAAAAATTCACAGCGAGTAAACTAGAGTGGACCAAAAAAAATCTACCCCCCTCAGCATTGACACACATGTGGAACGGAGCTTTGGGCCAAGAGCCAACTTTTGGACCATCCTGTAAAGACGTTTTTGAGAGGTCTGACAATGCTATATGTTAGCATTGGCTAATTCTTCTTCTGGGTCCACCCCCATCAGCCCGGGGTGGTATTGCAAGCATGTCAGCGCACGTCATTTTGGCCACTTTTGAGCCGCCCCCACTGGTGTGAACTTGTACATCTAGGAACTTTTCATTTTGTTTTAGTATTAGTCTTTTGTGTAATTATACTTTTATTTTGATTCATTTTAAATCAGATTTATTCTACTAGATTTTTTCTAGCCAACTAAATTAATAGAATCGTCTATAATCCTCTGTCTTTTTCAACTCACATCCAGAAGAGTTTCTCCCAGGTCCCAAACCCGGGAGTCCACGGAGCATGACTATTGGTTCAGCCTCGAAGAGATTCTGGCAAACCGTCCAGCGCCTCAGGAGGGGGAAGCAGGTCTTTGCCAACACTAATCATAGTGCAGATGAGGAGCTGCTGGACTTGATTGAGGATATTGTCGAGCAGTGGAAGGAATACTTTGAAGTTCTCCTCAATGCCTGGTCACATCCTCCATCTCCCTGGCTGAGGTCTCCAAGGTGGTTGGCAGCCTCCTTGGCGACAAGGCTCCGGAAGTGAATGAGATCCATCCTGACTATCTAAAGTCTCTGGATGTTGTAGGACTGTCTTGGCTGACATGTCTCTGCAGCATCGCATGGCCATCGGGGCGGTGCCAATGGAGTGGCAGACCGGGGTGGTGGCCCCTCTCTACAAGAAAGGGGACCGGAGGGTGTGTTCCAGTTATCAGGGGATCACACTCCTCAGCCTCCCCAGTGAGGTCTACTAGTTGTTAGTGTGGTTTTTGTCCTGGCCGCAGAACACTGGACTAGCTCTACATGCCCCATCGGATTCTCGAGGACAATCTGAGTTCACCCAACCTGTCCACCTGTGCTTGGTGGATCTGGAGAAGGCGTTCGACTGTGTTCCCCGGGGAGTCCCTAGGAATACGGTAAGAACATGCAGCTTTTTTTGTCCATGTCCATGTTTTCTTAAAAAAACAAACCCTCAACAAAAACACTTGTTTCTCTCTCCATAAAAACCCCACCTGTTTCTCTCAAAGAGTCAAATATTGATTCACGGGGCTCTTCCTTACAGACATGCAAAAGATGACATGTCTTATAATAAAATGTAGACAGCATGTGGTTTGATCTGTTGACAACATTTAACTTTTATAAAAACAAACCAATAAGTTAGGCAGCACAGCTTTATGTGGCTGCTAATCAGGCCAAATTATCATTTGTCTTTAAAAAGAGGAGAAAGATGAGAAAATAGAGGCTGTTTGTAACGAGGCCGGTGTGCGCTGCGCTAACAAGCAGCTGATTACGGCGACAGGAACAACACACTCTGAACAAAGCCAAAACAAAAGTCATGTTGGCAAATTAAAATCATTGCTTATTTTTGTTTTGTATTTTGTCTGTTGACAAAAATCTTTGGTAACTCTTCGCTTCGTCCACGAAGAAACCTTTTTTGACCAAATATTTTTGTCATAGTTTTTGTCAACTTCATACTTCATTGTTTTGCTCATATTTTGGAGATCATGAATGATGACATGAAACCTTTTCGTGTGAACCGTCAATAGCAGAGTCACTTATTCTCTGAAAAGCATTTTTTCTATTTTAAAATCATATGTGCAGATCTCAGGCGTGTGGGTCATGCAAGGAGGCCCAGGAATTGACAAGAACTGGAGGCTTATTGCAATTATGAATGGGCAGCTTTACCATCAGAGAGGAGAAAAAACCTCATCCATAACGAGCAAAAAGTCTCTAAGCTGTCACGGACGTTAAAGGGCAATACACGCTTTTGAGAACTGAGCGATGTTGACTCCTACTCAGAGTCGGGGAACGATTTTCAAACTTCATTATCATTTGAAAAATGAAAACATGTGTATTTAACATTTCTCCGCACAACTACAAGTGAAAAAATATATATAAATATAACATCAACATAGTCAAAACACTTAATATTACAATTGTGTTTTTGTTGCTTTTGCGAGCGCCTGTCCGTTTTCCCCCAAATCTCCCAAACCCCGCCCCCTTCGCCGCTCGTCATTGGGACTCGAGGATAAGTAGGTGCGATCCCCCGGCTCATTAAAATGGGCGGACAGGAGCGGGGCCCGCGGGTCAGGACCGTCCAGTGTTCTGAATAAAGATGGCCTGTGTGCTTGGGTGTGTGTGTGTGTGTGTGTGTGTGTGTGTGTGTGTGTGAGTATGTGTGTGTGTGTGTGTGTGTGTGTGTGTGTGTGTGTGTGTGTGTGTGTGTGTGTGTGTGTGTGTGTGTGTGTGTGTGTGTGTGTGTGTGTGTGTGTGTGTGGGTGTGTGTGTGTGTGTGTGTGTGTGTGTGTGTGCGTGTGTGTGTGTGTGTGCGTGTGTGCGTGTGGGTGGATTGCTCTGACACATGAGAGATTGGGTTCGTATGATATTTGACAAGTGTGGGACAGTCAAATAAATAGATAAATAAAATGGACGTAGGAGACAGCGGCGGTTACAGAGCTGTCATGTGACGAGATGGACATTTGTGCTGCTCTCAAGCCTCCTCATTTGATTGGCTGTAAGGAAGACTGAGGAATGGTTTTGAATGGGTGGGTTTGGTCAAAGCTGCCAAATCTGCCAAAACAATCTGATTACAATTAAGGCTGTTTTATTAAAAATAAAGATAAGAAAAGATAGTCCTTTCGTTGCACACATTACAGTAGAATAAAAACTAATATAAAAGAGCACTCAGATTGCACACGTCCAACCTTTTTATTTTTTTTATTTAACCTTTATTTAACCAGAAAAATCCCATTGAGATTAAGAACCTCTTTTTCAAGGGAGTCCTGGCCAAGAGGCAGCAAGGTGACACATAGACATAACAGACAGATAAAATTACATACAAAATGACAGATACACAGACTACACACATCAAGTAAAACAATTACAGGTGATTGAGATAATAATTTATTAATAATAAGTAATAACATGACAAAAGAGAATACAGATAAAACTCAGGAGCTATAATTGCACTTGGTTCAGAGGTATCAACAGATGTGGGTATTATACTTTAGCAGCAGAGAGTATAACCAGAATAAAATCAAATAAAAATAGTAATAAAAGCAGCAGGTAAAGTGACTGTGAATGGCAGAAATATCAGATGAATGGATTATGTAATAATGTAGTAATAATAATAACAACAGGTAAAGCAACCAGTGAAGTATTATCTGTAATGTATAGACTCAGCAGTTCTCGTTGTACAGTCTGACAGCAGCAGGGAGGCCAGGGCGACAACATTTTAGTGTGACATCTCAGATAGTTGTCAGGATTTAGCAGACAGAGACGGATCGTGGTGTGCCAAACTCTGGAAGTTTATTTAAGTTTCTCTCAAGTTCCACTGGTTTACTCTGTTTCTTTCTCCCAGACAGAATAAAGGCAGTACACAGTTTATATAGTCATTGTCACGTCACACATCGAAAGACATACGTGTCACAAAGAGACAGTCACATCATAGTCATAACATGGAGTCCTTGTAGAGTCCTTGTACAGTCCTGCATGTAGGCCATATTGCTATCTAATACTAACACTCTCCCCTTTGATCACATAATCACATGTGATCACTCAATTTGATCAATCAATAAAGTGGAAAAAGAAAAAAAAATCCAAAAAAAAAAAACTTTTAAAAATTATTAAAAACAAAGAAAATCTATGCATTAAACTCATAATTATCAAATCAATATCAGTGGATTTTATCCTATATCCTGGGGAAAAATAAACAAAAATAAAGTAAATAAATAGACAAAAAACAACAAAAACAAACAAAAATAAAAACAAACAAACACTATTGGACACACAAGAACTCAGCAGATTCAGTCAAAACACAGACAAAAACGAGCTGAGTCTCAAATTAGAAGCTAATTTAACTTTTCTTACTCTATACTTTTATTCTAATGCTAATTGTTTACACTTCACTCAATCTTATTTCACTGTATTATTTTCACTTTTCAATCTTAGACTGTGTACTTTACTTTCACTATTCACTATAGTTTAAAACTATTCTAATCTGTTCACAAATATGTTTGTATATTTGCTTCTGTTGAGCAATATTCTTAAACATATATTTTAATCTAATAAATCTCTCTGTGGTTTACTTTCATTATCAGTGGCTTATTATCAGTGGGATTTTGCTCCATGTCTATTCTCATTCTCAGGAATAAAACTGAACACAGTAAGGCAAATGGTTAATATGAACATTATTATGGCCAGTTTTCCAAATACATTTGTTGAACCAGGAAGTGCTGTCACTTCCTCCTCTCAGGCAGTTTGGGATGAATGTACATCATTAATCAAATTAGTATTATCCTTACAAGAGCTAATCTATTTTAGCAGGTTTGGGGTCAGTTATTCTACAATGGTGTTTGTGCTGGAAACTTCTCGATATCTAAATATCTACTATTGTTTTTGTGCTATACACAAATACATCAAAATGCTTTTGAAACTCTGTTGGTTCTAATCTATCTCATTGATCTAGGCATTAATCTAGGCTACACTCATGAACTTTTTGCATTGTCAACATTCACAGATGTTTGAACACAAGTGAATTTGGCAAGTATCTAATAAAACTGTACATAAAACTGTAAGTAACTTTATTTACTTTTGAAGTAAATGTTTGTGAAATGGTCCCTTTACCATTTGATATTAGCACTGGCTACAAATAATCTCTATTTTTGAAAGCATCTATGGTTGATGCATTTATCTATTTCTCTATTTTTACTCTATTTTTTAACTCCAAAGCTCGGCTGCAGCTTGAGCCAAGGCATATTCCTAGTTTGTGACTTCTGTCACTTTTAATGGCTGTAACATGATTCTGATTCTAATATTATAGCTGATCTATCAGAAGGATAACATTGTATGGTACTATTTTAACTCTTATGTGGAAATGTGTTTATGGACAACAAAGGAAGGACAATTCTACTTTTTTACTACTATTTAACATCTACTAAAACGCTATAATACTCATACTTTATCATTTTCAAAGTTTTTAACAGTTGCTCAGTCTCCCAGACAAAAAAGTCAAAGTTTTTGTCTGTCAGATGTCTGAATACTTAACATGTATATTGCATTTGGTCACAGGTTCTGGTTGTAGCAAGAGCATCGGCAATAGACGATTTTCATTGGCTGGTTCTTGTTCTGCAAATGGCTGTGTCCAATAGATCATCAGATGTCCAGAAGCTAGGGACAAACAAAAACAAAAGAAAGAATCATGAGTATCTCTCTCATTTACCACTCATCAATGTATGATTTCAATAATATAAACATCACTCCCCAGTTTTTCCTCTCTCAGGTCCTCAGGTCCTCAGGTCCTCAGGGTCCCCTGAGGGTGAGTCTCAGTCGTCATCAGGTCAGCCAAGCCATGGTTTTGGTCTCTCCAGATGCACATCAGGATCTCCAAATACAGTCTTTTCACTTGAAGCACATCAGGTCATTTGCGATGCACTTCTGGTCAATGGTGCAGTGTCACAGTTCCTGTACACAGCTTGTTATGCAATAGTTACTCTCTATGGTTAGTCACTTTGATTCTACTTTAACACAATTTCTATTCATGCTGTTGCTAATGTCTCTCAGACAAAAGCAAGCGCAATTTACTTCTCTAATTTGTGTTTTTATCATATCTAATTCTAATCAATGTAATTACTTCACACAGTACAAAATCAACAAATCAAAAGTGTCAGGACAGAGGTCAATTAAGTCCATGACAATATAGAATTCAAATGAACATTTCTGGTCTCAAAAAATACTGATTCAAGTGATAGACAATTAAAAATATGTGTTTACATTGGAGTAAACTTTTAAAATGCTTTTTTCTCATGTTCTGCTTTTTCATGTATCTATATGTAAATGTGAATGTGTGAGTGTATGTGTGTATGTGTGTAGGGTGTGAATTTTGGGGTTGTGTCTCCAGACTCCTCGAACCACCTGCAGGTGTCAAAGGTCACACTGTGGTGATGCAAACCAACTGGACACACTCTCAACTGCCTCTAGGTCTCTACCTGAGGCCTCCACCCATCACTGCCTCCAGAAACCTCCACTTTCATGGCCCCGGTCTCACTCCCACTTACTTCTGTAGTGGGGGGAGGGGCGTAGAGGTGGCATTGTTGCCCTTTGCTCTTAGCTCTGTGGCCTGTGGCTGGGTGGGCGTTGCGCTGTCCAGTGTCCAGCAGTGACCTCTCGTACAGTGTGGCAGAGTCTGAAAAACAATCCTTGAGACAGCCAATTTAAAAACAACAGATATGTGAATGAGATTGTTTTTCTCCCTAAAGTCAAAACAATTTTGGAGCGCTCTGGGTTTTTCCACATGCGCTATGTAAATAAAGATTACTTATTATCTTACTAATGTGAAACTTTTAAAACCAGAAACTCTCTTAAATAAAAAACAAGACTCAAATCTCTTAAACCTTCAACCTTTAAAATATGTATTATGTACTTTTGTACTGTGTGTTTAATTATCTATGCTAATACGTAATAAAGGTATTTGGAACAAACTATTTTATTGGAAATAGATAGTGTCATTGACAGATCTTTAAATGATTAATAATATTGTTGTGGGTTCAGTGTGCACATAAGATAAGATAAACTCTCACAATGGAGAAATGTACACTTGTCATGTGCCCTACTTGCGGCCACGGCCAAAGAGCGCTCACTGCGATAGAGCGCACACACTCACTTCTGTGAAACGGCTGGATCTGAAGCTTCAGCAGACCATGGCATAGGAATGTTCACAAGTTCAAAGAACACAAGTCCGAGTCTTCTTTTATTGAGTCCAGGCCCTAATTTTTCATTATTAATTTTAATTGGACTACGAGACCATTTATCTTATTCTTTTCTTTGACTGAATGTCTTTCTACAGAACCAGTTTGGCTATCGAGATGGAGGCCCCAACCCCTCAGAGGGCTCGTCATCCGGGGCCCAGGCCGGGGGCACACAGAACGCCTCTGGAGGATCCGCAGCTCTGGATGACCAGCGCTGTAACGGAAACCTCCTCAAGAAAAACAAGAGCCAGGGGGCCACGGAGGACAGCAGCGGGGGGCACCGGTACAGTGCAGACCCCACCATCTTCCTGGGCGAACGGACGTCCAGGGGCGACACGGACGAGGACGGCTACATGACGGCCACCAAGGAAAAGAGCTCTTCAGGTGAGCACAATGCAGCTTTACTGATAATTTCTCTTATTAGTGGAATAGTTACATTCTGCAAACACAAATATGAGAGAACTATCAACAACATATAATGTTTTTGATAATAAAATAACATACTATTTATATTTATTTCAGGATTCCTTTAAATTGTTTTGTTTGTTTTTGTAGAGCTAATAGATACCAGTCACATTAGCTATAATCCCCATGTGCCCCGGATTGAGTCAAAGTCAAATGAAGGGAGAAACAAAGACGCACAATTGCATTTGCTTGTGTAGTTTATTGCCATTTCAGAAAAGTTGACACTCTTGTATAATCTGAATCAGATTAAATTAAAATCCATAGACAAGTCTTTAGAATTCCAGACAGTTTGTAACTTTGTCAAGGCAAATATGTTGCTATTCATTTGAATCTGTCTGTCCTTGAATAATGAAAACCTTTTCCAGACTGTTTAATTGAAAACAACCAACTGCCCTTAAATCAAAGTTACTGTATATTCTGTTAACCAAACATTATAAAATAGCCCCTGTTTTATACAGTCTCTACATTGAATAGAGTTCATCCCAAAGCTACGTGAGGCACATGCCTACAGCTAATTACCATGCCGGGTGGTAAGTAAATATAAATATAAGATATCAATTCCAGGAAACTTATTGGGGACTTACAAGAACACAGACTTAAATGTTGCTTATGATTACACTACCATTAGAGCCATGTTTCATATTGAACTGGGCTTTATAGAATAGTATGCTGTAGATTGAGACTTTACCAGAAACACCATCAGGTCTTATGACTCGACATGACTCCATGTGATATTTTTTGCAAACTCATCAGATCTCTAATTGTCCACCCTTTCCTTTCTGTCTTGTCTTTATCAAACACAACCCGGTTTTGGAGGTCTCCCACATCTCATTCACAATCTTCTGTAGCATATTTCACCAGCTCATTTAACTTCTTTTTCATTGATTACAAACCCCAGCGGACATGGCCCGGCACATGTTAGCCTCACTAGCAAGTGTTTTATCATCTTTGATCATAACTCAGTCTGTCGACAATGCTTGCGCTTCCTGGTCTTTGATATTTCTTGCACAATCCCAAATATAACGGCTCAGAGCAAAACGCACATCTGATGCAATGTCAAGGAGCAACAAGAGTGGGAAAAATCAATAGTTTTTTGGCACACTACTGTTATCTTGCTTGAAAGTTGGTGAGGAGGGGTCATTTTCTGGTGTTTTCCCCCCTAGGCGGATGGAGTGTGCAGTGCCAAGGAGGTTTTTGGATTTATGCCCGTCTGGTCTGAAGAGAATGCTGTTATTTTCATTATCACCTCTGCCTTTATCTTCATCGCTCATTAGGCAATCATTTATTTGTCCTTCTTTTTCAGTTTACAAACCAAATTTAAAATGTTGTGAAATGTGCACTTTAGCGTGAAGTGTCGTGCTACATTTCCAATATTATCCACAACTTGAAAACCGTTCTGATTATTAATACATCTATCATAACGTGTTATGGCCAGCTGGCTTTAGTTTGTCCAAACATACAAACATAAAATGAAAGCACTTGAAACATTTTATGTTATTAGCACATTATCATATTTGATGTGTTCATGTCCTCCTCTTTCATAAAGAGAAACATTTTTCTTTAATCAAATTGGGTTTTTAATATCCATCACTTTTCTGTGATTTCCTAGTTCTGTCCTCTTACCGTTCTCATTTATTTTTCTTCCCTCCCGCTATTTTTCCCCTCTCCCTCTGTAGAATACCTGAACCCGATCGAGGAGAACCCGTTCGTCTCGCGCCGTAAAAACGGCGAAATCCATGCCTTGGACAACCCGGGCTACCACAGCACCCCCAACAACCAGCCAGGCAAGGGGGAGGATGAGTACATGAACGAGCCCCTCTACCTCAACACCTTCCGCATCCCGGCGGATCATGGCTTAGAAGTCCTCAGGAGGAACGGCCTGCCATTACCCTCCCAGACCCCTTCTTCCATCTCCGCCACCACCTCAGGATCCCATCTTCCGTTGACCATCCAGACCAGCTTGCCCCATTACCCGTTACCCTCAGCAGCGCCTTCTCCGGCTGGCTTGGCTTGCCATCACCTCCCTTTCCACCACACTTTGAAAGCCGGTCAGCTTGGTAACCCAACCAGTGTAAGCCAGATCGGAACCTCGGCCCAAGTTCAAGCGGGTCAGTCGGGTACCACGTCTACTGCATCATCCATGGCCATCGGCACGCTTCCAGCCTACCAGAGCCACGGAGCGACCATGCTCCCCGGCGGCATGCTCAAACATGGAGGCTATACGACAGGGAAAGGAAGTGGCAAAAAGCTCAAGGTTACTTTTGACAATCCTGAGTACTGGCAGCACAGTTTGCCTCAGAAATCCTCCGCGCAGATGGTAGTGGACGGCGCACAAGGAGGGTCCACCAACACCAAGCTGTTCTACAAGCAAAACGGACACATAAGACCACCCACGGTGGCAGAGAATCCGGAATACATGTCAGAATTCTCGCTCAAACCGGGTACAGTTCTCCCACCGCCACCTTACCGGCAACGAAACACTGTTGTCTAGACTCTGCTACCTTAAAGACTTTTGCCTAACCGAACATCTCTCTTTATCTCTCCGGCAATCCACTGTCCCATCCAGGCGGGTGCGGGCTAAACATTGCTGGCCAAACCCAAAAATCCCAATAATGTGCCATCCGCTGTAGACTGTAGCGACGTTCCAATGGAGAAATCATAACAAGTGCAAGCACCTTTACCATCTCCATCCATTTTGGTTGTAGATAGACTTCAAGCTCCTGGAATGGCATGGGGACTTACCTGGGACGTGTCTTGAAGGACTTGAACTCACTGCCAGCCATTTTGGAGGAGTTTTATCTATTTACAATATCTCTGCTGGTAATAAAGCAGATCAACTGTTCTGGGACAAGAATACTGAGGTTTGTTCATGGCTCGACGGAGCATCCAACGCAATCATATCCAATCGTTTGCCTATACTAATGTTAGTGTGTTGTCCATTCTCCCATCAGATATGTGACATTACCTTTCTACTGTAACTGTGATACTGTGATGGCCAAAACACCAACTTCTTTTTACTATTGTTATTTTTGTGCTTACTGTTTGGCCGGTGAATACGCTAGACGGGCGAACTGCTGTGTCCTGGATAGTTGAAAGGCTGATTTGAAAAACGCACTGTACTTTAGTATCAACACTGGTCGTTATGTTGGGGAAGTTTTGTTTAAAGCTACTGTAAAGAAAGTAAAAAATTAGAAGAAATATGGCCGACAGCAACAGCACAAAACAGTAACTTAGAAACATGCACATGGTAATTTAAGTTATTCAAATATCGTACATTTATAGAGATTATAATGTTATTTTGAAGCTTCCAGTTGCTGATAATTAACTTTAGTTGGACCTAACAGCACACAAAGTATTTATTTTCAAGAGAGTTCTGAGCTATTATATACATTTTGTTATTTAAAAATTGTGCCAATTCTAAGTGTCATGATGCATAAAAGGTAAATTGATTGATTGATTCTGCTTTGTTAATTATTATGTCAGCAGATTCTAATATATGCTACAGTTATTGCATATTTTGTTGCAATTTATGTTTTGAGCCGGGGAGCCAAATCAGGTCTGAGTCAGTGATTTCCAATTGGGCGAGACCCGACATTTAGATTAAGCTCACGTTGTTTAATCGAATGGGTGAGACAGAAGGTACATATTGTCAAAAGTTTCAATAAATGCGACGGGTTAAGCATTCGTTTGAGAACCACTTATTTTGAAAACTCTGTGGATAAAAGTGGTCATTGAACAGAATGAGCCAGTATATGTTCTGGCCTTTTAGACGTGTGCGTACAACTGTAGATATTTTAATCATTTCATGTCATCGCTTTACCAGTCTGCCCATTCTGCTCTCTGACTGAAACGCCTATAGTAATGGACTGTGATTTTGCGTGTTATTGATACATTCAGACTCCTCGCTCACATGGAAAGCATATTAGCATTTGAGCAACACCGAGGGTCCCAAAGGAGTTCTCACCACTACTGAAATGTAGGCAAAGTGCCAGTCAATGCTGCTAAAAGCACTGGTGTTAGAGCCATTACACCTCCTGCCAAGCCATACAGAACACTTGCAAGAACGACATTATGAAATCCACTTTATTTTAACATATGTGATGCTAGCTTGAAGTCTGTTTGCGGTTTTGTATATTTATTTAAAGTATTGTACCTTGTGGAGTGTTTTTTCCCTCCCCATCTAGCACTTTGGATCAAATTGTTTTTAAAAAGTCAACGGAAACTACACGGTGATGTGCGTACTTGCCAACCGCCGGCTTGGAGTATGCCCTTGTTATCGGCGGGTTTTGTTAGCATCAAACAGTATTGCTAACGCCGCTTTGATTATCCTAAAATCATTGAGCGACGGGGTATTTTGTAGTCCCTTTTGGAGCCGTAATGAAACGGGGACAACATTAAATATGTGTGTGAAATATTTATAGAGAGCTTGTTTATATGCAGAGATGGAATGGCCAAAAAAATGGCTTTGGGTTGTTAAGTAAATTGCGCTTTCGTTTGCTGTGAATTATGCGGACCACCCTGGGAAAGTGTTCGCTGGAGATTGGAATTCAGATGAGATGCCAGACCCGGCTTGTTCCTGAGTGCCCTTCACAAGGCTGGGCTCCCGGGGGAACTTTGGGAAGTGCTAAATTGCAGGTCAATAGAA